CTAGACACTATATCATTCCCCAGACACCTGATGATATTTGGAAAATAGATATTTGGAGGGGAAAGATCTATCCAGTTGCACTTCTGTAGCAGCTCCATGTTGTCTCTTCAAAAATCTTCATAATGAGATTGCAATCATAGGTCAAAACATATAATCATTAATAAAAATGTTTCTGGGGATGTTTGCACCACAAGCTTTTCAGTTTCTGCAGAAACTCCAAATTTTGGCAGCATGAAAGAAGCATAAAGCCATATTTCTAGCAATGTTTCCGATCTAAAATTTCTATTCAATATCTCTTGAGCAGTCTAGTGTATTGTGCTGAGGAAGCAGAGTCTACCATATATTCAGGATGTCAAAATGATTACATTTAAGGATACCTCAAGGGAAGAGCCAGAAACATGTAAATTCCACAGCATTTGGGGTCAGTGACCTAACCTGCTTGGAAATATGCCACTCCACTACATTCCACTTCAGTGATGGGTTCTAAAGGGAGTTTGTAATAAATAGTGATTAGAATGGTTGTAATAATCTTCTTTGAATGCTGTATGATAGCAACAGCCTAAGAGCAGCAAGAAGAACTTGAAAGTTTATACACATGCTCATTAAAGTTATTCACAGCTGCCAAGAAAAATGCAAGCAAGACTTCAAATTCTTCCAGATAGTTCAATTTCTACTACATCCCTCTTGTTTGGTTTCCTTTGGAAGAAATACTGTCTATGCTAATAGCAGCTGAACATTTTCTTGAAGTTATTGGAGAGAGTTTTGGGAGCAGAAAGGTTGGAAGATTTGAGTAAGTTACAGCTCTCTGCCTGGTTTAGACCTGCAAATCCTGTCTTCTTTGAATAACATTCACTGATATTGTAGGAGCAGGTACAAGACATAATTCAAGCATCTTAGTTTGATGGCCCTGTATGCTCAATATGGAGAGATTTTTTTCTTTAGAAAGTACACGGTCCACAAAAATACATTGTTTGAGTATCATAAACTTGTTTTTATAGCTTCCCAGCAAAATTATGATATATTTAATATTCCCACACAGTTTAAAAAAAAAACCAAAAACCAAAAAAAAACCACTCTCCATATTTCGTTTACAGAAAGTTTCACTGCATGCATACTAGGAAGGCTGGCAAAGAGACTTAGTGATGGCCATACTGTATCTGGTTGGCCCTGACCCCATCACTGAATTTAATTTTTCAACACACAATCTTTATGTAGCATCTGGTGTTCCCAAAAGAGCAGACCCAGGAACTCAGTTTTATTTATTAGTCAGCATATACTGAACTTCACCAATCTGCCAGTCTGAAATGGACAGTTCATTCACTGGAATTACAAATTGCAAAGTCATTTTTTTCATTTCATTGATGAAGAACTGAACTTCCTATGATCTTAGGTGACATTTCTTCCACTGGCACAAAGCTCTTAAAGAAATCATTAAAATTTCATTGCTAGGTCATAGCTTACATTTCCCTTTTGTATCAATATAACTTACACATTTCATTTTTCATTATTACACTTTTCAGAAGATATTTTCCTTACATATTTGGGAGATAAATAAAGTTTTCCTAGGCTGTTCTTCAGGCAATGAAGACCAAAGGCACAAAGCTTCAGCACTGTGAACAGTATAACTACACATTATATACATCACAGCTAAGAAGAAAACTGATGTTCAAAAACAAATAAGCATTTATTAAATTCAACTTGGTCTAATCAAAACTGATGACTTTAAAGCTTTTTTAAACAGAAAATGTGTATTAAAAATATCCAATTAAAAATCTTAAGTTTTACAGAAAAATTCAAATCTTATACCTGAAATAATTTCATAGTGTTTTTTTTAAAAGCATGTAGGTTGTGCAAAATAAAAAACAAACAAACAAAAAAATCCAACCCAAAGGTTTTTCATTCCCAGAGAATTAAAAATAAACAAATAAAATTTTACTGATGCTTCTGCACTCTCCCCCACTGCATTTCTTCCTCCCAGTTGATTTGCATTTTATCTCTTCCATCTGCTAGATATTTCTGGCAGCGTACTATGCCAGAGTAGCTTATATCAGATCACCTATCAAGACTCACACTTTGTAAGACAGTGGTTGTGGACAACGTTCAGATGTTCAGATAAATTACATGTGAGAAGAACAGAGGAGAAAAAAAGAGTGCACAGAAGAGTGCTACCTGCATTTCAGTCTCAGAGGGGGCTGCCTTGCTCTCTGGTCACTGCAGCAAGAGATACTTCCTCATATTATTTGAAGCAGCAAAACGTCTGCAGTGCAGAGGGATTTGGAGCTCTTCAGACTCTTCACTAGATTTTCTTTCAGACTTCTCCAACTATACTGAGTTTGGGACACACTGCTTTAAATGCACTGAAATCCAAAGCAAGTTACCTACACGAAACTGTTTGTAACTCAAGCACAGAAATACGCTGTGGTGGTATTATCCCAAGGAGATCCAGGAAGCTGTTCACCTCAATTTTCATGGGAACAAAAAAGCTGACTCCTGCACAAAATCATATCTTCTAAGAATAGCTTTGGCTTATGGCCTGAATTAAAGAACTTTATAATAGAAGTGTAAGCCTCTTAAAAGATACAGTGTATCAACAGTCATTTCAGATAGCTCCAATAAAGTCCAAAAACTTAGAAGTCAAAAAGAACATACACACATCCATGGAGCAGACACTATAATTGTGTGCATACACGAGCATTTGGAGGATAATCTTCATATAATAAAATATTCATGCTACCCCACCAACATGCTGTTGTGTCCCAATAGACTGCTCTTTTCATTTGGCTGTTCAGTGAGGTATGTGTTTTATTAGGGATCAATGCCAACTATTTTACTTGCTATTCCAATACATTCATGCTGAGAAATATATATATATATATATATATATATGAACAATATGGCATATAGAGTATGGACCATACCTGTGACCAAGTGCTAAAACGAATACATAGGATGTAGAGATGCGCCTACAGTTCACCAGGGATTCCTGTTTAATATTAAGAATGTCCCTGGTAATATACACTAAAGATTCTTGATCAATACAAGAAGTGAAAGGGAAAGAAGAAAAGGGAAAAAGAAAAAGAAAAGCAATGACAATCTATTTTGAAATTTATAATGTTTCATGCCTGAAATGACAAGATTTTGAGATCAGCTGTACTACATGGACATGTAAGCCCATCCTCCTCATAGTTACTTTGATACAAACATGGAGTAACATTGCTGAATTCCTTGAATTGATCAGAAGCTTAAAAAGTTAAAACTTCTCTTGTGATCCTGTAATCACAGGAAAAGTTTTAACTAGCATTCAACAGACATATAAAATACTCCACAACAGAGACCCAATAGCTTGTACAGTGAGACTTCTTGTTTCTACTGCCCTTAAGTATCACATTTTACTACTGTATATTCCAAACACTCACCAAGTTTTTTTGACTTTCACTGCAAATTTGCAGAACAGAATCTCATTTATTTTGCCATAATGACCACTGCAGAAGTACGTGGAAACCATTTACTCTACTTGCAGCACAATAAAGGAAAACTTTGCTAAAGCTTTTGGGAATAGTCTTAATTAGGAAACAATACACTGTTTTAATGTTGTAGTCTGGTAATGAAGAATAAAATACAGCAGACATGAAGGATGATTTGAATAACCTTGCTTTTAGTGTATTGGTAAACTGGAAATGACACATAAGGAATACTTCAGGAAAAGACAGGCAAGTTAATAGGTAATGAAAGAGAAGAGACAAAAATCTAGATCTGTAATAAATTATTTGCATTTCTAACTTCAATTGTTCTGATGGATAGTTGAGTCATACCTTTGAATTTGTATGCAAATAGAATTTCTGATCACAGAAGATAATTTCTTAATTAGTAAGGCTGGAAGGGGGCTTGAGAAGGATTTCAAGAAATAATGTACTGCAGCTTTTCCTCATTACTTTGAGATATCATCAGCTATACTAATATCCAAGCGAAATAATGGAACTTATGTGCTTATCAAATTTACCTGCACTGGCATGAATAGAACATAACATCACTAACTGAAACAACCAATAATGCAAAATTATGAAACACTGACCAAACAGAAAGAAAATGTGTGAGCAATTCAGAGAAGGAAATCACACAAAATAAAAATACGATTATTATGTGAGATTAAATTTCTGTTTTGGCCATTCATTTTCATCTATATTACATTCACTAGTTAGAAATTGAAGAGGAAATTAAAACAGAATACATAGATATATGCAGAGTTCCTGTGGTTCCCTACCTTTTTCCTTAACTATATTGGAATTTATTACTTCTTTCCATATTTTCCAATTGGGACTATGTAACTTGCATTTTTTATAGATTCATGTATTATCAGTTTTAAAATACAGTGAAAATTAGTCCATAAAGTTAAACATTTTTGGTTCCTTGGGAGTAATCACATCTGGAAATATTTTTTTCACTTCTAGCAAAAACAATCCAAACTTACAAGGATAGCGTCAAATTAGCTGAGTGCTTTAAACAGATTCATGCCTTAGTATGACACAACATAGTCAACTTGTCAAAACCTTTTGTAATACTTACCCATTTCAAGACAAGAAGATGCTGGGAAGAATGTAGCAAAATGCAGACACACTGACTAGTAAAACTCTTATGCACAAAAGTAAAACCTTTAGTTGCCCAACCATGGCTAGCAGCAAAGTTAGGCCAAAACTATTAATAATGTTATTCCAGACCATGAAGCTTAGACATATGGCAGCAGTTGCCTTTCTCCTTTCCCAGCAATTTCAGCAACACTGAAATTCTCTCACAGGGGGAAAGCTATGCAAGATATGAAAATCTTCACCTCTCCCTCTGCGGTTATTAACAAATTGAAACGGAGATGAAGTTATACATGGTAGATTAGTTTTTTGCCCTTTAAAGAAAGTATTATGCCAGTAGCGCTTTTCAAATCCTTAATCACTCAGAGATTAACAGCAAGTCTGGTATATGTGTGGAAACCCTATCTGTCTAAAACATACCATAATGCATATAGCAGTTTCCTTTGGTAGGATCCAGCTGAATTGCCTTCATGAAGTACTTCTCTGCCTCACTCTTGCGTCCCTTGGGAAAAAAAAAAAAGAGGGAGGGGGAAAGATTATTTGAACAGTGTGTCAACATGGAGCCCTCATATACAGTTACAATTTCAAAATTCCAGGCTCGGGAGGGGAGGGGAGGCAAGGGAAGGCAAGGGAAGGCAAGGGAAGGCAAGGGAAGGGAAGGCAAGGCAAGGCAAGGCAAGGCAAGGCAAGGCAAGGCAAGGCAAGGCAAGGCAAGGCAAGGCAAGGCAAGGGAAAAAGAATGCTTTGGTTCTGTGAAATAACACGGCAATAAAGATATCCAGCAGTAAAGACACCACAAATTAAGGAACAGAAATAGAAAATGGTACAGATTTTAATGTGGAAACTAAGATTTCATCAGAAATCAGCACTGTCAATCATAGAGTATAAATAGAATTAAAAAATAGGATTCTTAGAGACAGTGGTCAATGCTAAGACATAACAATAATTAAAACCAACCAACCAACCAAAAAAAACCCAAACAAACAACCCCACAAAACAAATAAAATCTAGAAATGACGGTAAGAGGAACAGGAATATTCTAAACTACAGATTTTCTTGTCTGAAATCAACAAGACACTAAACCTGCACTGTTGGACACAAGATGATGGAATAGATTTGTAAGTGGCCATTATTCTTATCATGAATAAAAATCCAAAACCCTGTGACACTGGATTAGCCTAGTCTCATATTCAGACACAAATCATCATTAGCTATTCAATAAGATACCTGAGACCTGTTCAATCCTATCCTCATGAAATCAGTTGCTGTGGTTTGTACTGGAAAACAGAAGGCCTCCATAATGAGGAACATTTAAGCTAAATCACTGTGGTAGAAAGGCACTGCATTATGCACCTCTCAAGGTTGGCCTTCTTGTTATTTCACAGATATAGGCTTTCTCAAGTTTTGTGGTCTGGAATTAGTTATAGCAAACATCCTGCACTATCCCACAAGCTAACGTAGGAGTAATAGTGAGGTAAGTTCATGATTACAGCTGCTCCAGATTCTAGGGCCTTAAAGACAAGAAAATAAAAAGAAAGAATAAAGTTCTGCAGCACATAAAGAAATATATCAAAACTGGGTTCTATCAAAACCAAGGTAGTCTGAAATTTTTCAAGACAGCATCTTGGTTGAAATATAAGCAGAATTGCCATTTCTGATATTAAAGTTTCACAAACAGAATGCTCATGTGCACTAAGAATTTAGCCTGAATAAACTTACTTTAGTAAAACTATATTCCCAAAACCATAACCACAAGGCTTCTGAAAGCCAAATGAAGCCATTAAATTACAGAATATATTACTTTGTATTGCAGCATTGTTTTTCTTTTTTTAAAAAAAGCAAAACAGAATGGCACAGGACACATAATCCAGACTAATTTTTTCTCATCTAGTAAAACTGAAAAGATATATCTAAAGATATATATTTATTTTTTTTTAATACAATCATAGTAGAGAACAAAATGTGAAGAAGACAATAATCTGCACTTGGAAACATGTGGTGAATGTAAAATAATTATTCAAATTAGAATAATGAGGATTGTGGTGGGATTTAAAATTAAACACTGAATTTTGCACATTCAACTTCCAGACTGGCACATTTTAGCCTGGCAAAAAATACTATGACATACATAAGCCGAGCCTTGAGGCTCCAAAATGACAGGCACCAAGCACATGTGTCAGAATACACTGTCAGAACTAATATTTATAGATTGTGCTTCATTAGTTTTGTTTTTTTTTCTCACACAGATGATCATCATTAGTTTTAGCTGGTCGCGCTCTGCCTCTGTGTCTATTTCTAGAACATAAAAGAACAGTTCATTGGATACAGCAAAAAATATGTCACTTCAGACTAGAGAAATACATGGCTACAAATGTTTGTCAAACATTATTAACTTTCATTTACTGAGATCACCAAAAATACATGACCGTTCCTCTTTTTGGCATTTTCCAAATGGCATATTGCACCCAAGTTCAAGAGCCCTGGAGGACATAATGATGACAGATGCCAGTATGTACAGTATCAAAAGAAGGACTGAGCTGTTAATAGGTCCAAAGTCCCATTAACAGGAAAAGGGGGGAAAATCTTACATTATATTACCCAAGCCATAAAACAAACTGACTAAAAATGATCAGCAGAAACCAATTTGTTCATATTGGTCTTTATTTTCATTTATCCACATTTGTGGGAAAAAAAGAAAAAAAAAGAAAAAAAAAGATATAAACATTGTCTTTCAATATAAGGAAGCTGTGTCATATTATCTAAAAATGTCCTCTTTTGTGCCATCTGTCTGCTGCTATACCTTGGCATAGATTTACTAAGTTTTCTTATCCATGTCAAATAACATGAAATCTAATCATCTGTGTCAGTCTACAACCATTAGTACATTCAAACTTTTTTCAACTATCCAATTTCCATAACAGAACGTAGGCACTGTGTAGTAACATTAACATGGCAACCCTGCAATTGTCTTTTCCCATCATATGGGTTCAGAGTTAAATAAAACATATGGCATAAGGGGGAAAAATAGCTTTTAACAAAAATCCACAATAATTGTTTAAACAGCTGAAAAGTACCTTAGTGCAGGAAGGCATTCTGTGTGCATGTTCACTGCTGTGTATTGACCCACACAGATGTAGGCATTAAGAGCCACTGGAAACCTCCCAATTTCTAGTAGGAGGGTGTGCAGTTGTATATGCACAACCACATGCTTTGGCAACTTTACAAAGCAAAAAATGTAAGTTTTCAACTGCATGCTAGCAGACTTATTTGAAGGATAAATATGTTATTCATAAGATTTTAACAGAAGGACTTGATGGCTCTAAGGATTAATAACGGGATACAAAATACCTTTCACCTGTTGGTCACCAGTTCACAACCAGTCCAGGTCAGTAGCTAATGAAAAGGTGCTATCTGACAGCTACTGGTTTCCTCAGGAGAAATAACTAGGTGGTCCAAGCTCTAATGGAGATCCTCTGCACAGAAGCACTGGCATATTTATGGCTGCTCAGCTCACTAAGACATAATGATACAGGATCATAAAACAATGAATGGCAATCTCATCGCTGAGGAAAAAATCCATAATTAAGACAGTTCACAATTCAGCTCAGAAGACTGCGTTGACATTCTACCTTTAACAGACCTGGACCTTACCCTAAGACCTATAATGTGTACAAAATTCCAGCAGTTTTTTTTTATTAATAAAGAAAACTTGATTCTTTTTCCGAGGCACAAATAAGGATAATTTGCCAATGATTATCACCTTTCCATATTAAGAAGTGAAAAAGTAAATGTGACTGACAGATGGCTCTAGTACACCAGTTGTCTTGGCTTTCATAAAAATCCTGCTCTCCACACACCACACAGACTTAAATCAGAACGGCTGGTTGCTTCTGGCTTCAGAAGCAAAACAGTTAAGTATTTAAATATGAATTCAGGAAGTTGATTTTTAAGACACTTGGTCTCTGTAGATGCAGACTGCAAGGGGTTTTGTTTCCTTGGCTACTTCTTCCCTAGAGACGAGACAATAGGTCTGACCTTATTAATATGGTCAGATATTTGCTAAAAAAGGCTTTCCTAAAAAAGGACATACGATTACCAGGAGAAAGAAAGAGCTAGCTAAGAGCAGCTGACACATCAGTAAAATATCTTACATTTATCCTTAAAATATTTAAAAACTGAGGACAAAACTACTATTTTTTTTTTACCCTCTCCAATTCTTTCCTCACTGTTGGCGAACTGTGCCAAATTCATGTTGAGGCAGCTGGTGTACTTCAGGCTGCTGGAGGTCCAAGAATCCTGAGATGCTAATAAAATTGGAAAAGACTAATACAGCTGAGCAACTCTGAATAACCCTCTTGTGTAAACTATGATGATACAGTGGCTACCAGCAAGGTGGCTCTTCTAGTTAGGTGGTCTTTGCAATTTTAAACCAATTGCATATTTTGTAAATATTCATCATTCTCCAAAATGCACAAGGGTTTAATCAGTAGAGCAGAGATTTCACTCTTCAATTGAGTTGCACCGGCTTTAACTGGCAATAATGTGATTGCAATTTGCATCACAAATGCAGTTGACTTTAACTCCCCAAATTGGCTCAAATGTTTTTTTGGCAAGTATTCCCTTTTTAATAAAAGGAGTTGAATTACGGGAAAACATTTCTTAACAGAAGATTGATAAAAATACAGACACTAAATACATAATAAACAGTTATTTTAGATATTTCCTTTTTCCCTTTACACATGTGTTTCAATAACAGAGTATGCTAGGAGAGGAAAAATATTTGACTTGAACTTGTGACTTTGTTTTGGCTTTAAGTTACTGCAGACCTGTACATCTGTTTCTCAATCATTTCTTTTCGCTTTATGAAATTTTCCATGGGATGGTAAAAACACAATTTAAGCTATGTATAATTGAGTAAATTAGCAATAAACTCTTCAAAAGTTTTTAGTTAGAGAGTTACATCTTACACTGAGGTCATTGACATACAAGATCTTCATTCTTATTCCTACTACTAAGAAATAAATTTAAAATCTAGTATGTAAGCATCTAAATCAGCAGATTCTTCATTTTCCCCCATTTTGCCATGTTTCCACAACTCCGCACTTACCACTCTGATTTGGGAACGTCTTGCACATGAAGTGCTAATCCCACTGAAATACATGGGACTTGCATTACTCACATTGCAGGCCCAAAATTTATCTCAGTCTCTATTCTCCCTTGCAGCAAAGAGCCCAATCTTGCCTCTTCATCTCATCTTTACCAGAATAAAATAAAAACAACTGGACACGGCAAAGAAGTAGTGACTTCTAATGGTTAACAGCTGATCCAGAAAAACATACATCTATGAGGCAAGATTTGCAATGATTATTGAATTTTATGGAAAAAAAAAACAGTTGTTGGGGGTGGAGTTTACAGCCCTCCGAAGGCCTTCTTTCAGCACTGTCCAACTAATATCATTAGGTTTGTAAAACATGTTATCTTTTCAAACAAAAGCTTCCTCCC